CGGAGACACAGGGAGACAGACACAGGGAGACACAAGGAGACACAGGGAGACACAGGGAGACAGACATAGGGAGACACAGGGAGACAGACACAGGGAGACAGACACAGGGAGAAAGGCACTCAAGTCCCTGTGTTGCCACAGTCAGGCTAGGCCTGGGGACAACGGGTCTCACTCTGCTGCGGGCAGGGGGCGGGGAGAGAGGTGGGGACGATGGCTCTGACCACGTTGGGTGGGGCCCCTTTCCTTCCCACGGAAGTGCATTCTCCCCGGCTCGGGGCTCGAGGGCACCCACCCCCGATCCCCTCTTTTACGGCAGTGCAGCGACCAGCTGGGTGGTTATTCGACATCATGGCAGTGGTGCGGGCGCTCCGGGTTTGATCACAGTGCCACGATTATGGGCGCACTGCTTGTGCCTCAGCCCGGCCACAGACATAGCTCCGCCCACCACTTAGCCAGGGTGCCCAGCCAAATGGGCTGACCGTGCACGCAAGGGCCAAGAAAGACCGTCCGTCCATCTGGTGGGGCTTGGTGGCTGAGCATCGACACATGACCCAAGAGGTCACGGTTTGATTCCCAGGCAGAAAAGATCAAAAAGCAGAAAACTGACAGGGGGTGTGTGGCCCAGCAGGTAAGTGGCATTGGGCAAATTATTTGATCTGAGCCTCGGTTCTGTCTTCTGAAAAATCGAAATAATAACCTGCTTTGCAGGGCAGTTTGAAATGCTTGAAGCCGGAGCCACTTAAAATGCAGGAAGTGTTACCGTCTCTGCTTTACATAAACTGCTGTGTCACAAAGCAACACAAAATGTCATCGGTTCGGCCCCATTCTAGGCCAAGAGACTTTTTTTAACCACTTAATCAACGACAATAATCTATATATATAAAAGCCAGTAGCTATGGCATGCACTGACCACCAGGGGGCAGACGCTCAATGCAAGAGCAGAAACCACAGGCATGGAAACATGGAACAGACTGATGAATGTCAGAGCAAAGGGGAAAGGGGGGAGGGCGGGAAGAGATTAACCAACGGTCTTATATGCACCCTAGAGGCCCAGTGCACGGATTTGTGCACTGTGGGGTCCCTTGGCCTGGCCTGCGGGTATCGGGCCGAAACCAGCAGTCCGACATCCCCCGAGGGGTCCCGGATTGCGAGAGGGCGCAGGTCAGGTGCACGAATCCGTGCAGCAGGCCTCTAGTTAAAGAGCAATAATGCACAGCACCTCACAGGCCTTTGAGAGGAAAATAAGCAAGTGCTCCTTTTGAGAAAACGAGGGCCGTGTGACTCGGAGGGGGCAGAGTGACTCGGGGGCCCTCTCTGACGCTGACTCCTCCTCAGTGCCTGTCTGGGGGCGCTGCCCCGGTGCCCAGAAGCAGGAGGCTTTATCTTATTTTTCACCGTATTTACCGTAGTGCAGCTTCACGATGAAGGGGTGGTTCACTTCCGCCAAGATGTCTCTCTCCATCTTCGACCTGACGCGGTCCCGAACTGCGGACAGAAACCGGGCTCACGCAGGCCGGCCGGCTCGGGATAGGCCCACGAACGGCGTGATCACCCCCACTCCTCGTCACAAGCATGCACACGTGCACCAGAGTGGAACTAGAGGGATGATGACCAGGAGGTCCCACAATCGCTGGTATTTGTGCACATTCTCTCTCTCTACACACACACACACACACACACACACACACACACACATTTAGCCAGAAATCTGACTCTCACCTGTCGGCCGACACCATGGCCCCCAGGCCCAGCACCTCCTGGAAATAAGGACGATCTCCTACACAACCAACCAGACGGCCACCCCTAGGGCACTAGCTCTCATGCCATCATTTCACTGAACACCCACCACAAACCCCATGTCATTTACAGTGGGTTTTCCTGACTTAGGAAGCTCACAAGTTCACACATCTTCCTTCCTTCCTTCCTTCCTTCCTTCCTTCCTTCCTTCCTTCCTTCTCTCTCTCTCTCTCTCTCTCTCTCTCTCTCTCTCTCTCTCTCTTTCTCTCTCTTTGTTAATCTTCTCCCAAGGATACTTTCCCATTGGTTTTTAGAGAAAGTGGAAGAAAGAGGGAGAGACAGAGAGAAACATCAATGTGAGAGTCACATCGATTGGTTGCCTCCTGCACGCCCCCCGACTGGGGCCGGGGATCGAGCCTGCGACCCGTCTTCTGTCACCCGAGGTGGGTCCTCTTCTGGGGAAAGTCCCTGTCCCATCGGCCTGTCCAGCCCCCATGCCCTGGCCCCGTGACGTGACTGGGAGGCAGGGTGGAGAGAAGGGGACATGTGCTCCTGCACCCCTCGCCGTCTCCCTGCAGAGCGTGGCCTCGGTGCCGGTAAGAGACTCTGAAACCCTCCGGGATCGATGTCCTGTCACCGCGTTCAGTTCCACTTGGAATGGAATAAGCCTGTCCAGTCACACGCCTGATCGTGAATGGAAACCAGGGACACGTGAGCCTGGGGCACATTCCAGGTTCCCAGGGGCTGTAGTCACAGTGGGAAAGCAAGTGTCTGTGTCCGCCCTACAGTCACACCACCATAAACCCAGGTCCACTGGGGAGTTCAGTGCTCACGAGCATCCAGCCACACAAGGTCCCCGAGATGGTGCGGCTGGAGGCTGGGAAGCTGTCCAGTAAGTCAGCGACAACACAGCCCCGGGAAGGGACGGGCCGAGCTACGGAGCAGCTGCAGGTCGGCACCCAGAGGCCGACGCACGTGTGCAATGACCGGAAACCAACCGCGAAGGCCGGGAGCCCCATCAACACCCGATCCCCTGATGGCACCTAAAACAAGAGAAGGGCCGGCTCCGGCCGCGGTGCCCATCCCGGGACACAGATGAAACACGTCCGGGAAACATTTCCATGTGAGACGTGATCTGGGAGCAGACACCCGGGCAGGCCCTGGCCAAACCCCCACAGATTCGGGCCGGGGCGGCCAGACGCAGGGAAGGCTTGCTCCCCGCAGGCCAGGTCCTCCCCCTGGTGACCGCCCGCTGTGTGACGGCCATGCCCGGGGCCACGCCCAGCGGGGACATGTGAGGACCGCACACCGGGCGGCGCCCTGGGAAACCGAGCGGCGAGCGTGACCGGCTCTCCCACTCCTGGCATCCGTGAGAATGGACCTGCGGGCACGAACACCCTGTGCACGCCTGTGTGGGGACACACGTGTCCACGTCTCTTGTCTCCGTGCTCAGGGGCGGGTGGGCACTCGGGGGGCTGGGAACCAGGCGTGGGCCTGGGCTTCTAACCCGTCCCTGCAACAACCAAGGGACACAAAGCGGCCACGAGCCACATGTGTGTGAAGCTGAGCGACCTGCCTCACGAACTCAGGCCGACCTGCCAGCCCCCGATCGAGACTCTGCCACGCGTGTACACGGACATGCGTGGAAGGAGGGTGTGATGCCACGCGACATTCCTCTGGGAACGAGGGATACGGAAGACTCGGAAGTGTCACACTGTTTATCGGTCAGAGCCACGTGTCTCTGTCCTCCGTTAGGGACGCCCTCCTGAACCACGTGGCACTGCACGGAACATGACGTGAGCAGCGCAGGGACCCTCCAAGCCCCCTGAGGCCTCTCGAGCCTCCCGAAACTCCTTGAGCCCCTAGGCCCCCACCTTTCAGCGTGGCCTTCTTCAGCACCTTCATGGCGTACAGCTGCCCAGCGTCCGGCCCCACGGCCTTGCGCACCAGGAACACCTGCAGAGAGATGGGACATGATCGGCCATGCGTCCTTCTCCCTGTGTCCTGCCTGGACAAGGGACACACGGAGTCTGCGGAGCTTCTGACACAGCGGATGCGCACAGGGAAGGTGTGAGTGCAGTGTGTTCTCCAGCAGCCGGGAGGCACTCCCCTCACTCCCACGGCTCTGTGGCAATGTGTGTGTGTGCGCGTGTGCGTCAACGTGTGTGTGCGTGTGTCACAGGAGAATCATGGTGTTTCTGGTGCTGTGACCTTCCCACTAAGCATTTCCTGTCAGAAGGAATCCACCTCCTTTTTAAACACAAGAACTCACTGTTCCAAGGGGCCTGCCCGGTTCCCTGTGAGCACCCCTCGGGCCCCGTGGGGAGGCCCCCCGAGTTATCCTGAGGGCACAGAGCCCGCCCCGGTTTTGTGCTTTCTTTACCCACATCTCAGCGTTGAAGCGCTTGAGCTCACAGCCTAGTCTCCACGTGGCTCCCAGGGGCACGTGGACATTGAACGGCACTTTCTCAGCATGTCAGACCCTGTCAGGCCGACAGCCGTGTCACCCGCATTAGGGGCGGGGACAGCCATGTGTCACCCGCATTAGGGGCGGGAACAGCGTGTGTCACCCGTGTTAGGGGCGGGAACAGCGTGTCACCCGTGTTAGGGGCGGGGACAGCCATGTGTCACCCGCGTTAGGGGCAGGGACAGCGTGTGTCACCCGCGTTAGGGGCGGGGCACAGTGAGAGGCTGGGATTTGGTTTGCTCCCTTCTCAGAACGTGGGAACCATAACCCCCGACGTCAACACTGCTGGCTGTGGCCGTGGCCTGAACAGAGCCCGGGGCCTCGTTCGGGGAGGGAGGGGCTCTCCTCGTGACCTAAAGGTGAAGAAGGGAACGGACGCCCTGTGCACAGATGCGTCGCAGGCGACCGCGGGAGGGTTCCCGTCGCACCGAGTCCATAGAGCAGTCATGCCAAGTAGCTTCCATCCCTACTTCATGGGCGGGAAACGGGCTCACAGAGGCAATTCCCTGAGTGAGGAGGAGCGGGGGGCGGGGACCAGGCCGGTCCAGCCTGCCCGGCCGAGCGACCCCCTGAAGGCACCACCTCCCGTCTCTGTCTCTTGTTCGCTTCCTTTTCCTCCTTTTTAGAAAATCGCTGGTGAGGACACGCTCTCCAGGCTCCAGTCCAGCAGCCACGCGCGTGGGAGAGGCCGAGCCGGGCGGCGGAGGAGAGGAAGTGTGTGGTGTTCTTGGGTGGTCGATGCCACCCGGCACAGCTCTGACCCGCGTGCGGTTCCCGTCAGGAGGGACCTGCCCAGGTTGGGCGCCTGCGAATGGCACCCCTCAGCCGGGGCCATCTTCTCATGTGTTCAGGGGCATCCCCACCCCCTTCCCCGTCAGCAGACACCCGAGTGCTCGTGTGTGAGGGGACCGGCCACGGGCGAGGGGACAGGACACGGGCGAGGGGACCGGCCACGGGTGAGGGGACAGGCCACGGGCGAGGGGCCCAGCCACAGCGAGGGGACAGGCCACGGGCGAGGGGCCCAGCCACAGCGAGGGGACAGGCCACGGGCGAGGGGCCCAGCCACAGCGAGGGGACAGGCCACGGGCGAGGGGCCCAGCCACAGCGAGGGGACAGGCCACGGGCGAGGGGCCCAGCCACAGCGAGGGGACAGGCCACGGGCGAGGGGCCCAGCCACAGCGAGGGGACAGGCCACGGGCGAGGGGCCCAGCCACAGCGAGGGGACAGGCCACGGGCGAGGGGCCCAGCCACAGCGAGGGGACAGGCCACGGGCGAGGGGCCCAGCCACAGCGAGGGGACAGGCCACGGGCGAGGGGCCCAGCCACAGCGAGGGGACAGGCCACGGGCGAGGGGCCCAGCCACAGCGAGGGGACAGGCCACGGGCGAGGGGCCCAGCCACAGCGAGGGGACAGGCCACGGGCGAGGGCACCGGCCGGTGCACGGGACGCGCGGAGGCAGGGAGGGACTCACCTTCCCGTAGGAGCCTTGTCCCAAGACCTTCAGCAGCTCAAACTGGGAGGCGTCGGCCTTCTCGCAGCCGTCCCTCACGTGGTGGCTGATGTCGATCTCCTGGAGCACGCCCTCCTCCTGCAAGACAGGCGCCGGCTCCGTCCCCCCGCGGCCACGGCCTCGGCAGCTCGACTCGTGCCAGCGATGCCGCCTGCAGCCGTGGGCGCCCGGCTTCTCCCCATTCCCAGGGAAATGGGGGGGGCCCGGGAGACCAGCTGCCTCTGAAGGGTGCGGGCAGGCTGGACAGGGAGGGGCGTGGGGACTCGGGGACAAGGCCACCCTGGGAACTTGTTTTAAAGCGCGCGCGGCCGCTCAGTGGACTCAGCCGTGGATGCGGACTGGGAGACGCATCTGCTTCTCGCGTCAGTCTCACTGCCCGATGTCCCAGCCACAGCGATGCAACTGCCCCCCCACAGGCCATGTCGCAGCAGGGGCGGCAGGGAGCTCACCCAGCCCAGGGCCAGAGCCCCCAGTAGGACAGAGCAGCCCCGGCCTTTAAACTGGAACACTGACCGAGCCCGCCAGCTGGCTCAGGGGGTGAGCGCTGACCTATGAACCAGGAGGTCACGGTTCGATTCTGGTCAGGGCACAGGCCTGGGTGGCAGGCTCGAGTCCCCACTGGCCCCCCTGCAAGCCCCCGTCTCGGCACAACCTGTATTCACTGCCCACGTGCCCTGGGCAGGAGCGAGTCGCAAGGAAGACAGAGGTTAGTGAAGGCGGTGGGGAGATGCGCACACGCTCGCGGGGAAGGGAGAACGATGCTACTTGTGGTCCATTCCCCAGTGCCGACTGAACACAAGGGGGAAGCGCGGCCATGCCAACGGGGCTCGGCTTCCGAGAAAACAGTTGTTGACTAGAACTCGCTCCAATCGGCAAGTGCTCCCGCGGCACCGCCGGCCGCGCTGGTCAGTGCTGGTCAGTGAATTGAGGCCCGGAAGGCTGGCGACCGCTGGCCCCCGAGACACTGCTTTCCTTCTTCCTAAGCCCACTCCCCTGGGGACAGAGTGCGGCTCCTAGTGCCCTATTCCACGCTGCCGCGTCCGGGCCAGGGCGGGCGTGGGGGCCACGGA